ATGGCTTACTCTACACCAAAGGCAACGCCTTTACATCCGAGATGGGACAATCTGAGGAAGGAATTAACCAAGGAGTGTCATGATCCTTGTGGGCAGGCCATCCAGGTATGAGACGTACTCTTGCTCTCTTAAAATCTGCCTACTATTGGCCTGGGATGCAGGATAGTATTGAGGGATATGTACGACGTGCCTTGTTTGCCAGCAAGACAAGGTGTGCAACACAAACGGCAGGCTTAAAACCGTTACCCGTGCCCGAGAGACCATGGGAGAGTGTCTCAATGGATTCATCACTTGTTTGCCAAAGTCTGAAGGGTCCGGGAGCATCATCGTATTGTGGACAGGTTTAGCAAGTATGCCACCTTCATCCCTGCATCCACCGATTGCACAGCAGAAGAAACAGCCAAGCTTTTCTTTCGCAACATCAAAAGTTATGGGGCATTCCAACAAGCATAGTCAGTGATCGAGATCCTCGGTTCACTGGGAGATTTTGGACAGAGTTATTCAAGATACTAGGTTCAAACCTAGACTTTGACCAGTTCACCCCAAACTGATGGTCAAACGGAGCGTGTAAATGCACTGTTGGAGCTATATTGCGGCACTATGTGAGTGTAGTCAGCGGGATTGGGCCAAGCTCCTGGACACAGCCCAATTCTCATTTAACTTGCAACGGAGCGAGGCAACCAACAAAAGTCCTTTTGAGATCATCATGGGACGGCAACCAAACACCTCTTTCCCTAGCCACCAGCTATGATGGGAAGAGCCCTGCAGCCTTCAGGTTAGCCAAATCATGGCACGAACAAATGAACTTGCTCGTGCAGCTACACAAAGCAGCAAAGAAAATGAAGAAATGGGCTGACAAGAAAAGAAGGCATGTTGAGTTCCAAGAAGGGGATCTTGTTCTTGTAAAGCTTCTGCCCCAACAGGTCAAGACATTAAGAGAGTGCACAAAGGCCTAGTGCGCAAATATGAGGGGCCCTTTCAAGTGATACAACGCATTGGCAAAGTTTCGTATCGACTCCAACTTTCTCCGAAATTGAAGATACATCCGGTCTTTCATGTAAGGTGTTGAAGCCATTTCATGAGACCGGAGGAGCCATCCCGAGGAGTCTCAAACGAGCACCAACCGCTGTCGTAAAATGCTTTGACAAGGAAGTTGAAGAAATATTGGCCGATAGAGTCGTTCGCCGAAGAGGAGTGCCAAATTACCGGGAGTACTTCATCAAATGGAAGGGACTTCCCGATACTGAGGCCCGTTGGGAGACCGAAGACTCATTGTGGCAATTCCAAGACTCCATCGGTGTTATAAGGATAGTGCGACGAGGGGGTCGCAACATTAGGTGCGGGAAGTGTCACGACCCGCTTGCTTGGTGAATCAAGTGGGCTGCACGTTGCTTAGTGGCTAAGTATACTTCGGGTTAAGTAAACTTAGTGGCAAAGACACTTAAAGGATAATGCTTATCCATCCACCTAAGTTTGCACCTAGGGGTGCCACCTAGTGTTTACTTAGGATTAAGTAACTTAAGGATTAAGTATTCGATGTATCTAGTCATTTATTTGAGGAGGTTTAGCCTATAAATAGGCCACCCCTCCCTTGTACATTTCATAACTTGAATCTTTCAATACAGAGGTTATATTTTCTCTAAGCTTCTCTCTCTAAACTTTATACTTTGAGTTGTTAGTTGGTGGAGCGTTAGGCTGCTTAACTCATTCGAAGGGTTAAGGCCGCACGAACTTAGCAAAGAGTTAAGTGCGTGACAATAAGCTCTTTATGAACTTATTTAAAGTAATGAAATTCCAAAAATTTCCCTCATTTATTTCATAAAATTGGTTTATCTTTTATTGTATATTAAAGATTTTTTTTTTTTTTTTTGTGGTAATTTAAGACTTCAAAAGTCAAAACTCTTACATTTTTCTAACCACACATTTTAGATGGTAAAAATTTACAGTTATGGAACAGGATATTCCTATGAGGTTAGGCCACTAGCCATCTACAGAACTTACACACACAAAGAAACAAGCATGAAACTCACGAAAACACTGGTGTGTGTTACTATAGGCACTCCGACGCTCAAGTTAACAAGATTGAATGTGTGTGGTGTCTACAGTAGACACTCTAACGTCAAGTCAGCAAGGCTGAACAAGGCTATTTAGTGAGGGTTAAGGAGAGAAAGGGTACTGAAGTCTGATCGAAGATGAGGGTGAAAGTGCAAGTTTTAGGAGCAAGAACTTATAGGCTAATAGGTGGTATTGAATAATGGTTCCTTAATGAGAGATCAGCCTTTACTATAGGGAGAACGACTTCACATAACAAGGTTTACCATAACGACAAATTGGTACCTAAAAAGTTTTGAAACGACAAATAGGTACCTCGTCATGTTTCTGTTAATGATTTCTGTTTATTAATAGTGAAAAGACTAAAATGCCCTTAAAAGTTTGAATTTTAGTTTTTTATAAATTTAAAAATTTCTAAAAGACCCCCTAGGTTTACAAATTTAACTAAATAACCCAATATATAAAATTTTTGTAAAATAACAAAAACACCCCCGCCACCCGCAGTGTCAGATTCCGGCCACCACCACCGGAATCTGGCCGGAAAGTTGCATTATGACACAGATCCGTCGGATCTGTGTCGTAACGCGTCGATCTGGCTTTTTCTGGCCAGATCCGTGGCTGATCTGGCCGGAAAAGGCCAGATCTACGGCTAGATCTGGCCGTCGATGCCTCAAAACTCCATCTGCAGCGTCGACGGCTAGATCTGGCCGTAGATCTGGCCTTTTCCGACTGGATCAGCCACGGATCTGGTCGAAAAAGGTCAGATCTGGCTGCTGCTTCGACGGCCAGATCTGGCCTTTTTCGGCTAGATCTGGCCTTTTCTGGCCAGATCTGTGGCAGATCTTGCTGGAAAAGGCAAGATCGGCACGTTACGACACAGATCCGACAGGTCTATGTCGTAATGCAACTTTCCGACCAGATTCCGGCGGTGGTGGCCGGAATCTGGCACTGTGGGTGGTGGGGGTGTTTTGGTTATTTTACAAAAAATTTATATATTGGGGTATTTAGTTATATTTGTAAACCTAGGGGGTTTTTTAGAAATTTTTAAATTTATAAAAAACTAAAATTCAAACTTTCAATGGCATTTTAGTATTTTCACTATTAATAAACAGAAATCACTAATAGAACATGACGGAAGGTACCTATTTGTTGTTTCAAAACCTTTTGGGTATCAACTTGTCGTTATGGCAAACCTTGGGTATGCACAAGTTGTTCGGCCTTGCTTATATAGTGAATATAAGATCTCCGAATCCTAGTAGAACTTTGAGTTTACAATGACAAAAAGTAAATGGGAAAGTCTTGATTTACTGGATGTAAATGAAATAGGAAGTAGATGAATTATGATATAAACATAACTCTGGATCCTTTGAAGTGATCCTGGATTGGTGGGCCTAGGCCTAGGAGGAATAATAGCGAAGCCCAATTTGGATGATCCAACCCATGAGGAGCTAGATTGGTGCAATGGGTTAGCTTATGATATGGATCTTATCGTGGGCCTAACCAGAATTGGGTCATAGCCTTGAGCCATGTAGTAGATGTCCTGCACTTAGGCTTGATAAGCCTATGACGATTTTTTGCCCATACACATATCTAACAAATATATTATAAAAGTTCTACTATAATAAGCTATATTTTTATAAAATTTATTCGAATAAACCGTATAAAATAAACCCTTAGATCGTTAAATTATTACCTTTCGGGGCTTTGATTAGTGCAATCATCCCTCTGACTATGATTAAGGTTGATGAATTAATATTACTTTCAATTTCTAACATATTATAAGTTTGTACTTTGTTTTACTCAATGAGATTAATCTCAAAAACACTCATGATTATAGGAAAGTATTATGTATTTTTCTATAAAGAGATAATGAAAGGTTAAAAATTTTGACATCAAGAATGCTTTTAAATGTGCGCNAATAAACTGTATAAAATAAACCCTTAGATCGTTAAATTATTACCTTTCGGGGCTTTGATTAGTGCAATCATCCCTATGACTATGATTAAGGTTGAAGAATTAATATTACTTTCAATTTCTAACATATTATAAGTTTGTACTTTGTTTTACTCAATGAGATTAATCTCAAAAACACTCATGATTATAGGAAAGTATTATGTATTTTTCTATAAAGAGATAATGAAAGGTTAAAAATTTTGACATCAAGAATGCTTTTAAATGTGCGCTTGGTTAAGAGAATATTGTATTATTGTAGCTGTTAACGACCTTGAATTTGACTCGAAACAACTAAAAATTGATGCATGGTTGGCTAGATCCGATTGGTTTACACCATTCTTGCTATTGCCGACGATAGTGGTTGACGATCGACAATGGTCTTAAGTGACTGGGGTATTTTGTTAAATTTTAAACTTTTATTGTGAGTCTTGTGACAGTGGTGTTTTAGCCAAATTACCAAATGTTACGAGGTTAAAATAATAATCTAAATAATAATTTTTTTTTTTAAAAGGGCAATTTAGTAAAAGGGTATCCTGTAATTCTTTTATTCTTATCAATCAAACATATTAATTATTTATACCTACTAGTCGAATCAAACATATATAATATAACATTTTTCTTAATCTTCAAAGTAATTTATCTCATTGATAACCTATATTTTTAGTAATACAATATTCCCTGAACCAAATGACCTCAGAATGTTATATTAATAAAAAGATAAATTACCTTAGACATTATTAGGAATCTTATTAAAAATATGTTTGGTTAGATAGGATTAAATTGGTGAGTATGTTATATCAATATGCTTAATTGGGAGGAATAAAAGTTTTTTCGAAGATCATTTTATTAAATTACCCTTATATTTTAATATTATTATTAATTTATATTCTATTATTCTATCCACCAAAAAAGTATAAAAGTAAACAAAAACACTCAACTCAACGACCTAAAATTAATCAAAATAACACTCGTTACTATTTTGAACAAAGAAGGTGACAGTATTATTATGTGTAAGCTTGTGTCTTTTTATTTAAAACAATTACCGTCAAATCTGCATAAAACACAACTACACAAGCTTCTGAATTAAACCCACTTTCTCAATTTTTTTTTTTTTTTAATTTTCTTTTCAATTTTAATTTCAGTTCATTGATTTCTGAAGCTTTAAACTTAAACTCTGCCCTTGATGTTATCCACTCATTTCTTTCAAACACGAAGCTCACTTTCACATGCAAAAATTGGGTATTCATGGAATCCTTTACTGAATAATGAAACGACTTGATTTCCCCACAAACAACTTGTCTTTAAGCAACTTAGATTTCTTGCTTCGAAAATGCATGAAATGTAAGGCTTTGAGACCGGGGAAGCAAGTTCACGCTCACTTGTTGACTAAAAGCTGTTTAAATACTAGTGATTTGGACTCAAAACTTGTGGGTATGTATGCGAGTTGTGGGGATTTGAGATATGCCCATTTGTTGTTTGATAAAATTCCCGAACCAACTGTCTTTGCATTGAATTGGATGGTTTCGGGGTCTGCTTTTAATGGGAATTTTCGCGAGGCAATTGGGTATTTTAATTTGACTAGAAATTTGATTGGTTATTGTAATAAGTTTACTTTTTCGTTTGTGTTGAAAGCTTGTGTGGGGTTGCTTGATTTAAGAAAAGGGAAAGAGGTTCATGCTTTGGTGAATGTTATGGGTTTGGGAAGTGATGTTTTGGTGGGAAATGGGTTGGTGGATATGTATAATAAGTGTGGAGAAATGTGTAGTGGGCGTAGAGTTTTTGATAGGATTGTTTGTAGGGATGTCGTTTCTTGGACTTCAATGATTTGTGGGTATTGTAATGTTGGAAAGGTTGAGCAAGCTGTTGTTTTATTTGAAAGAATGGAGTTGGAAGGATTAGAACCGAATGAGTTCACGTGGAACGCGATGATAACGGGGTATGCTAGGAGAGGTGATAGCAATGGAGCATATTTGTTCTTCTCTAGAATGGTTAGAGAAGGTTTGGTTCCTGATTTGGTCACTTGGAATGCCATAATCTCGGGTTTTGCTCAAAGCCACCGAGCTAATGAAGCGTTGAAGTTGTTTCGGGAGATGCTGTTGTCCGGGATAAAACCTAATGATGTGACTGTAACGGGACTGCTTCCTGCTTGTGGGTTGACAAGTTCGATTCAAAGAGGTAGAGGAATTCATGGATTAATTTATAGGATGGGGCTTGATTTTAATGTGTTTATGGCTAGTGCTCTTATTGACATGTACTCAAAATGTGGCAGTGTGAAAGATGCTAGGAGAGTATTTGACATGATCCGAGTCAAGAATGTGGCGTCGTGGAATGCTATGATTGGATGCTATGGGAAAAATTGCATGGTTGATTCCTCGATCGAGCTCTTTGAGCGGATGCAGGAAGAGGGGATGCAATTGAGTGATATCACATTCACTTCTGTTCTTTCTGCATGCAGTCATGGTGGCTCAGTTGAGAAAGGTTTGCAGATTTTTAGGTCCATGAAAGAGAGATATGGAGTTGAGATTAATCAAGAGCATTATGCTTGTGTTGTTGATATGTTGTGTCGTTCAGGGAGGATGTTAGAGGCTTATGAATTGGTGAGAAATATGCCAATAGAAATCACTGATTCAATTGCTGGAGCTTTCTTTAATGGATGTCAAATCCATGGAAGCAGAGATTTGGCTACAATGATGGCTGAGGATATTCTGAAAATGGACTTGAATAAGCCAGGAGGTTTAGTCACACTATCAAATATATATGCTTCTGATGGAAAATGGCATGAGGTTGAAAATGTAAGGAAGGTTATGAAGGGGAAGAATATCCACAAGACGCCAGGTTTTAGTTGGGTTCAGAAGCGGGCTGAGTTTGTTGAAGAGGAAATTAAAAAAGAAAGCATCAAACTGGAGCTTGGAGATGGTATGTTCTTTCATAAGATATACTAAGTTCTCTGAATTGTCCTGTCAATATTGGATCTTACCCAAAACAAATTAGAAACTCGGATTGTATGTTTTGTTTGTGATGACATAGTGAAAACTTGTTTATCTTTTCAATGGCTTAAATTTTAAAATGGAAAAACTAAAAATTTAGTACTTGAGAGTTTTGAAATCATTTATGTGACTTTCAAAATTTCTTCACTTGTCGCTAACTTCATATTGGATGTCATAGCTAACATGGTAAATAAAACTTCAAAAAACTAATTTTAGTCCCTGATTGAAATGAGAAGTTTACGTTTCACTTTATGTAGTTGACTAATAAAAAGGTTACAAATCTAATACTTTTTTTCTCCAAATATTAATAGAGGAACACTCTATATTCTTTGATGTTAACAAGGGTAAAAAGACACATTCACCTAGACTCAGGACCGTTAGGCCATTTACCGAGACATTTGGTTTTCCTTGAATGTTAGGGCTCCTGGTTTCAATTTTTCTCTTCCTATTTGCAGACGAGGTCAAAGTGGAAGAAGATGAAGAAGGATCTAAAGATGTAGGAGCTGTTAAATTTGGGAGCTAAAGTGGTAGCGTTGGTGATCCTCACTCCTTAAAAGAGCATTCCATTTCTGCAGGGTATTCCCTTTTTATTTCTTCACTCGAAACAAATTTTCCCCCAATAGAAGGAATTGTGTCATAAATAATGTCTTAGGCTTTTCAAGGGGGCACAGAGTTGCTCTATTCAACATCCAAAATTATACTTCATTTTTCATTTATATTTATGACCATTGTATATTTGATTTTGATCTTATAAATGGATTAGTTTTTCCGAAGGGAATTGGTGGTGTACGAAATTACATTATTGATAACATATTTATGTACGTATTTCCTTAAAGATTAAAATTGAATGGCCATTCTCATACTTGATTGCTTGTATCTGTGGTGTACCATCTAGTTAGACCATTTATGTCATCCTCTGCTAATCATGCAATTCCATTTATTTTTTTAATACCAGAAATTCCATTACCCTCTCTATGTATTCACCAAGCTTTAAACTGGAGTTTCTTCCAGATCTCACAGCCTCTGTAGTCAGGAAACTTGTTACATATAATATATAAAGTAGGTGACCCTAAGGGAATTTGAGTTCTTGACATCTTAGTTGAAACCAAGTCTTTTTAGTCTTGTGATAGTATACTACACATTTGCAAATTATATGTTCAAGTTTTTTGAGTATTTCCCTTAATGCCTCCTTTTCTTTTCTCTGTTCGAAATCTTTAATGTTTCTCCTTTATCGTGTTCTTAGTTGGTTTATCATTCAATTCATCACTTCATGATTTGCTGGGTTATATAGTCGGATATGAAGCCAAATAATCTTGGGATGACATGCTATAGGGTAGTAAACATGCATAATCAAGTGTCTTTTGAGTACGTAATCAGAAGTTTACGAGGTACATTTTTCATGCTCAATCTGAATTTATTATCAGTTATGAATAATCTTTTAGTATTCAGTGCTTTTGATGATGTTAGAAGTGAGTCTTGTTCCCCCTTAGCCACTCTGATACTTCATAAATTCAATCATTTGTTACTTCTCACTTTTTTCTCAGTTATCATCTTGGAGGACGTTCTTGCCAATTTTCCTGGCTTTCACTCCTCACAAGATGTATTGATACTTTTTAAGACTTTGTGGCCATGCAAGTGAACAATGATCTAGTCCCAAAGCTTTGAAGCATGACATTGTGAGATTTCTACAAAACTTTTACAAATGCAACCCCAGATAGATGGAGACATTGTTTCTTGCTTCTTTTAAGAATGCAGTTCTATTTGAGTTGTGTAGCCTTAGTTTGATCTTCTCTAACTTGGAGAATATTAGTTGGGATAGAGCCATAGATAGCCTCTTGAACCCTTAAGAATAGATAGATTTAACGCCAAACCTAGTCAACCCACTTTGAGCTCTTACGATCTACCCTCATCGAGTATAAGGTCTTAAGATAAAATTTCGGATATTTACCAAAAAAGATGAGTTGTATTCAGCTCTTGAATAGTGATGGAATTGAAAAACTAAATTGAAGGGAACAAAAAATGGGCCCAGAACCTTGATTAGTAAAATTTGTAGTTGAAATATGAAACCAACTGACGTAACTATTACATTGTTATTATCATTTTTATATAGAATGTTGATCCCCTTGATGCTTGATTCAATAATAAAACTTTCCCTGAGATTTCTGAAATCACAGAAATCCCCTTACTGGTATGTTTGAAGTGTTAAAATAAACAGAACAAGAGCAATTCTACAAATATTCATTAACTCATAATAGTATACATTTTAATGACTTACTAATAGTTCACTATTAGCAAGAAGATTTTTGTTATTTTAGAAACTTTGGAAGGATTGTTGTTTTTAAATCAAACCTTAGGGGTTGATATTTTTAACTCTGTTAGTGTATCAGCAAGAGGACCCAAGTGTTTGATAACTTATTATATATGTTTATGATAATGTAGTTTAATTTTAACCCTTTATTGGTCGCAGAATATAGGGCCAAGACTTTGCAGAGTAGCAAGAAAGTCAAAGGTTTGAACTGGATTCTACTTATATTTATGATATAAACTTCAATATTTTTGAAATCTAAGCCATTTTTATTCACAGATCTTGAGAACAATATGTCAAATCTACTATTGTTAAAAGCAAAGTCTTTTGACAAATGTTCAATTCATTTGGCCCTTTGTATGTCCTCTTCACAAGGTTTCACTTTGACAGAGGCAATGGCAAGGTGCATCTGGTTATACTTTTGTCGGATACTAATATGGAACGATGTTTTGGTAATATATAATAATATTTTTAATAACATATAATAATTTTTGCATATTAGTGGTAATATAGTTGTTCCAGTTAACTTTTTGCCCCAACCCTTTTCTTATTAAAGAAAATAAATCTAACATATAGATTTTTTTTTTATCTTTTGAGACTTTAAAGAGTTTATAGGATAAGATCAAATTTTAAACTTTTCCAAATAGACCTAAATTGGACTATTTAATAGCCCAAAAATTCTTTTTAAATAGAGACGAAGATGAGTATTGAACAAACTTCTACATGGTATATCGGAGCGTTTTCTTTTCTTATTTTTAATGAGTTTTATCATACTCATCTAGAATAATCTTAGATATATAAGCATTATCATACAAATTGACGTAAAACAAAATGAATGGATAAATACATATAAAATTTTAACTCAATAAATGTTCAAAAAATATAAATGAAAGATGTGGTAGTGTAAAAAAAAAAAAAAAAAAAGAAAAAATTAATCATATCAATTAGTATGAATGAGATTATATATATAGTATGACTCTACCGTCTAATACCAAATATTTTCCTTTTATAATAAATTAGAGTGAAAATTTGGTGATCTCACTACAATAAATGAGTATGAGTACTAATATTCATGGATAAAAGGAAAGAACAGAATCAGAGTAAGGCATAAAGTGAAAGAAGAGATTGACTTGGTAAAGTGTAAGAGGCAAATTTAGTTTGGTAGAAAAGGGTCATTTTATTACTTTTTTGTTTTTTTTAATCTTTTCAATCCAACCAATCCTTTAACTTTCACTCTTCCTTTACTTTATTTTCTACCATAAAATTGTATTATCCATTCCTTACAATTTTCACCTTATAAGAAGAGATATAGGGGTCATTCCAATTTTCCTTTTTTTTAAATATATATATTTTAATAAACCTTTGGATCAAAGGCACTTTAAAAAATATATATATATGTTATTTGGTTGTAACTCAAGAATTAATAATGAGTAATTAAAGTGTTGAAAATTCGACAATATTATGTACTATTTTTATAAGATTTTTTAATGAGAATTCTTGACTTTCTTTTGTAATTATATTTTCTATATCCTTTTAATATATGGTTTGTTTGTTTGTTAGTTGTTGTTTTTTTTTCTTTAAATTAGTTTCGTTAATTATTCATATATAGAAAATATAGTTTCAGAGTTTAGATTAAAAAAAAAAAAAAAAATTGCTTGATAAGAAACTAGTGGAAAATAAGGAAATTTTGTAGAAATAATAAAGAAATAATGAGATTTAATATAATGATTTCAAAACGTTTTTAGTGGATAAATTGATTAATTTAAATGAAATATAGTGAAGATTAAAACATAATATATATAATTATTCCCCAAGTTAAAAGGGAAAGTCACAAATAGTTATACATTATAAATGATTTTCTCACTTAATTTTGTATTTAGTATGATATAATTGATAATTTTTGGTGTGTTTCCATCTTAGATTTTTTTTAATTAATTATTAAAATACTTTTTTTGTTTGCTTAAATTTCTGTTTTGGGATGCATCAAATTAATTATACACTTATTTTCAAAAGTCCAAATTATATTATTTGATAATATTTTGAAAATAATTTCACCTTTTGTAATTCTAGCTAGCCATTATAATAATTTTAAAAAAAATAATATCCTATTTATATAGCTAGAGGATTTTGCTAGAAAAATAAATAATTTGAGATTGAGAGAATATTTCATAGGTAATAATATATTTTAGCTATGAATAATTTGTGGAGATTACTTTTTTTTTTTTTTTTTTTTAATAATTTATTGAGGACACCCTATTTTAATGTATCAATTTGTTGATGAAATAAAAATAATAATTATCATAGTGATAATAAATTTTGAAAAATATATGGTGGGGATATTTGCTTTAAAATCCAAAATTAAAATTAAAAAATAAGTAGAATTACTAGAAAAAAATTACAATTTATTTATTTTGAATATTATTACATTTATGATAAACATCATACTTATAATATAGTGCATTCATAAGCAAAATAAATAATTTTGCATGGTGTTTTACCCAAATTTTCAATAAATTGGCCATTAAATTTTCAAACTTGGACAATTTATAAATTTTCTAGTAACATAATTAGAATAATACTTAATAACACCGAATATAATATTGATAGTATTTTATATTATATGATCTCTCAACATATTCATGAATTATTTAATGTCATTAATCAAAATAGAACATTAAACATACTCTAATGTTGTATATTTAGAATAATATTTAGTAACATCAAAATAATAATTTGGCAACACTGCCAACACATACTAATGTTTAATAACACAGGATAAGAATTTGCTAAAATATAACATATATTGTATCTAATTTTCAGTATTATTTAATCTCTTAACCGATCCATCAATTATCCAATGTCATTAATCAAAATAAAACATTAAAACAAACTTCTTACTTAAATTAAATTGTACCTAAATTTACAACATAGATATCAATTTCTTCCCCTTTAAACCAATCCTTGAGTGGTTCGATAAAGACTCTTGAATGTATTACTTAAGATGTCTTGAGTTCGAGTCATTCTTATGTTATTAATAATCAGTTGATAATAGAGGTAGCTATTATACAGATGATAGTTTTAGGGTTCTAAGAGATTAATTGAAGTGTATGTGACATGCAACACCCTTGTTTTTTCTAATGACAAACAACACCCTAGACTTTGTCAAATGTTAACATAGTTACAAGGTTATTTAGTGGGATGAAGCTAAGAGTTGATTTCCCTTGAAGGAGGTGGTCATGGCAAGTACATGAGAATCTTTAAAGCTTGTTAACCACAACTACATTGTATCTACTTCCACTACCACTTAAAAAAACAACACAACTCACTTTCGAATTTACCAAAAAGCCCTTGCGTTTCAATTGTATCTATTTCTAATACTTCAACCACAACCCAACTCACTTCCTATATTTACCAAAACACCCTTCTACTTCGAATGTATCGTGCATTTACCAAAACACCCTTCTACTTTTATTGTGTATCTACTTCTATTACTTCAAAGTTCAAACACAAGTACACACACAACACCACCCACTCCTTGAATTTACGGAAATACCCTTGTGCTCGATTTTCTTACACACAAGTTTCAGTATACAACAGAGTCACACACGCAGGCTACTGAGCCAATCAACAAATATCTCTTCACTCTTTCTCTCCTCTCTCTCTCTCTCTGTGTTTTCTGCCCTCCTTTTTGAGGTGCCACACATCTTACCTCCTTAATTTCTTCAAATCTTCATGTTTTTTGATCTGGGTTTCTTGTTTTTTCCTTTTTAGATCTTTCTTAACTCTTCAAAGTCTCCATTTTTTCCTCTAGTTTTCATTTTGCTAATCAACTAACTCTTAGAAAGAGAAAACCCCATCTGGGCCTTACTCTCTTTTTAGTTTCAATGCTTCCCTTTGCAGATTCAAAGTAATGGGTTTCTTGTTAAAGATGCAAATACGCTTTGTTTCACATCAGGTTAGTTTTTCTTTTTCTTCTTCTTCTTCTTCTTTTTTTCTTTTTTCTCTTTTCTTTTCTTATTTTTTTTTTTTTTTCAATGTTTTGTGGTTTTGAATAAGTGTTTTATTGGACTGTGTATTGGTTTTTGATTTGAAACTTTTGAAGTTTGTTTACTTGAAGCTGATTGTTCTTGTTTTGATGGCTTAGTTGAGTTTTAGTAAGTTCATAAAAAAATTAACTTTTGATGCTTTGGTTTGGATCTTGCTTGCATATATTGAGGGGATTGTTTGTTGTTTTCTTAATTTGTTTAGTTGAAATTCTGATGGCTTGATTTTCTTGATATTGCTTTTTCCCCTAATTTGAATTTGTGTTGGGGACTTACTTTGCTTCTGGATTTGACCCTTACTTTGATTTATATTGGTTCGCTCTCAGCTATCGAGTGTAAACTTGTGTAAAGTTTAATTCGTTTTGCTCTATAATTTCCAATTACTTGCTTGTTTGTTCATTGAATGGATGTTTTGAATCCGCGATTCTGTTAATTTGTGATTTGGTTTGATTTGGAGTGTAGGAGAAAAGGAAACAAATCAAAAAAGCTATCAACTGAGTCTAATATGGCTTTCTAGCATCATTGAATTGAATATTTCATCTTTAATCCCTTATAAGAAAAAAAAGGGTTCTTTCCTGCAATCGAGTGGAGGGTAAGGATGATTCATCGAATAGTTTGTCCGCGGACTTTTTTTTTCAAGTTCTTTAGTTCAAATTAGCTTATGCATGAATCCGAGGTGTATTTTGATGTCATTGAAGTGAATGAAATCATACTTTGTTGATAGTGAAACAGAAAATAAAAATGATTTCATGCTGTTTGTTGTGATCCTGAAAAACATCGATTATTTGTGCTGTAATTTGTTGCTTGAGTTAGTGTTTTTGAGTTTTTACTTGATCTGCTATTTGTTGTTTCTTTTCACACGAGTATTAGATGCTCAAGTTGATCGCAACTTTTGTTTGTTAAAGATATTTGTTATGATTTCATCGGTGATTGTCGTTAGTTAGTAATGAAATGGCTATTGTTTATCTAACTAACATTTTTTCCTGTACTTGTTGATGACAGAGAGTTTTCCTATTTGTATGAGTATTCTATAGTTGACCTTTGAAATTATGGGTAGAGGTAGAGGAAAGGGAAAGAAGTTGACCGTTAGCAATCATGAGGACCCCGGAAGTGGTGAGGAAGAGAAAATTCCAGCACAAAAAAGAAGGGGAAGGCCACAAAAACCACTAAAGGATGATATTGATGAAGAAGAAGCTGAGAAAATAGAAGAGGAGGATGGTGAGAACGGAAAAGCTGGTATTGTGAGCAAAGAAATAAAAAGTCCCACTGCAACAGAGAATGGAAAGAAGAGGAAGCGTAACTCACAGGTCAAAGAGAAGTCAGATTCAGTCAAAGAGGAAAATGGTATTGGAACCAGGTCAAGTACTGATGACTCAACTAAGTCGAATGGATTTCGGCATAATGGAAGCAGGAGGAAAAACAAACCCCGTCGGGCTGCTGAAGCAGTCGTTGAATGCAAGTAGGGTTGTGGTTGGCTATTGCACTCAGTCTCATCCCTTATGTGTTGCCTGATAAGTGACAGGATGGGAAGTGAGTCCTAGTGCTCTCTCATTTCAAATTTTTTTTCCCTTTTTGGTCTGTTTTCTAATTTTTTACAATTGCGTATCTTTAATTTGTTCTTATTTCACGCGGGAGTTTTGGAGCTGATTTTGCTGGTTGTAATTTTTGATAATGCTATTATATTTTATATCATTTCTTGTTTCTTGTATTATATATTCTGAATGACATGCATAAATTCTTACCACTGCTGCTATAGTTTTTCTGAATTTTATCTGAGTTATGATTGTTGAATATCATATCAACTTGGATTCATATGATTGTTTGGATTCTAAACTAGTAAAGCATGAATGACAGGAAAATTTGTTCACTCATCAATTGTGTTTCCTTTTGGATGGTCATGGATTTTAGAAGTGATTATGAAGGTTTCAAGTTTTAATTATGACCTTCTGGGTTCTTGGATTATAGACATCCGAAATCCACTCGGTGTCATGTCATATCACACTTGCATTACAGCCATATTCACAGCTTCTTAATTAGCTTAGCTATGACATATACCTTTCTGAGCAATTAAAGTTGCCCGATTTGTTTCTTGGTCAGTTGATGTTTTTAGTACTTTATATTGCCCACATCTGTAGTGCTAATGATATGTTTTTGTATAATTGACAAGAGTTGTAGATACTTCTTTTTGTTGATTTCTTCTTTGCTTGAAGATCTACTAACATTTTTCTGTAATTGAGCGTTCTAATCACCTCGCATTACTATATTTTGGAGTAATTAGAGACTAAAGAGCTGAAAACTTCAGGCGCTTCAATAGTTGAAAATTTATTTACATGTTTTCAGTATTTGTTGCATTGAGTAAGTTTGGTTTATACTGTCTTTCATATCGTCGGAAAGCATTATGCATTCATTTTGAATTTGATTTTTGTGTCCTCAAACCGTTGCATATGCTTGTATCTTGAGCTTTTATCAGAGCATGAGTATGACTTCTGTGCGAAATCTTTTTAACCTTTTTCTTTCTGAGTAGATAGGAAGTTTAGGGTTTAAAATTTAGTGGTCAGAAGAATCTTTTAAAGTTCTCCCTAGTATTTCTTGACCAAGTAAAAGCTAACATAGGATAAGAATAAGTGCTTTTTCGTTTTGAAGTAGCTTATTGTAATACTGCAATTTGTGCACTGGGTGGCGTGCCATACATAACTTTCTTTTGGTGGGCTGCCTAAACTTGACTATTACAAGGCAACCACCAAGCTTAGCTGGGTTGTTTTGACTTACATGGCCAGCAGTTTTTCTGCTAAAATGTTTGCTCCCACTGTATTGAATGTATTGTCTATAAACTATATCAATTTGTGCATCGAAGAATGGATCCAGATCCAGCTATGGTACCACCCTGCATCGATGTGGGGATGTTTTCTTGACAACCCTCAACGTCAAAGTTATGATACTGATACAACTGAGACGTTGCATGTTATAAGTTACAAATATAATGTTTTACGTTATAGAATTTTCATCGGTAACATTATTGACATTATGCATGGCAAAAACCCGAATTAGTTTTTACTTGGTCTATTGTGTATCTTTACAATCCATGATAAAAGTGTGCTATAAATCCCCTTTATCGATATAAAATCGTTTCTTCGTATTACATTTCCCATTATCAAAATAATGTTTCTAAACATATTATTGGTGTTATGCATAGCAAAGATACCCAATATGAAAGTCATTTTATTTAATTTCTTGTTCTTTATTTTTGAAAATTACAATAAAATTGGAATTATTATATCAATGGTTAAATTTTTTCTCCATGGGAGTATAAATTAATAAATCATTATATTTGTCCCTGAAAAATGAGGTGGATATGCCATATTAGGTCAACCATTCGGTGAGATTCATAGGAATCATAGCTATTTGAAGGTCTAAAAGTGTTTCCAAAAACAATGAAAATAGCCTTAAAACTCAATCTTATAAATTTTTACAAACGACATTGAAGTTAAAGTTTGTAATTGATCAGCTTACAAGTAAACAAACAACAAACATTACGAATAAATGAGAACAATTTATGAGTTGACCAATTACGAACTGTTATATCAAAATTGTGAGAAAAAATTTGTGATATTAAGTTGTAAATTAGTATTGCTCAACCAAAAAACATTTTTGGTTAGCTCCAAAATAGGAGGAATTACTTCTTTTTTATATGACAAGATTCATTAATAATCACGTAATAAATTAAGTTAAAATTGGTGTTTTGCTTATATTTTTCTTTAATTTGTTGATTTATTTTTATTACTTTGATTTAGTTTATTTTATCATTTAATTATCATCAAGTGTCTGACATTGATGTCTTTGGTTATTTTAATTAATCTTAGAATTATATGCACAAAGTGATTAAACGTAATTAACCATGTTGGATAAGTTCCTTAGGTACGATTTCTTCTGGTTGATTTGATTATTGAAGTAGAGTTTATAAGAATAGAATTTACGAAAGTATAATTTATGCCAAAATAAAATGTTAATAATTTGGTTGTTAATTTAGAAATAAAAGTAAATAAATTGAAAAATTCTTGAAATGAAAGAGATAGGCTTAAATATTTTACGACAAAAAAGATAATATTTATAACAGGATTGTATTAATATTACAATATTGAAGTAGCGTTACTCTACCAACAGAACTATTGTGATATAATAATGTAATTCTCTTCTCTTAATTGGATTATAATTATTGTATGGTATTAATAATCTAAATAAAATATTACCCAATTGCATTGTTGCATTAGTGTTATTCTCCCAATTGAATTATTGGATTATTTGATGAGTCAAAAATCATGATATAGCTTTTTTTTTTTTTTTTTTGGAGCTATTTGAGTTAGTTTATGCGTACTTCAACTAATTGTTCAGGGTCTTGAAGTTAACGACTGGGTAAACCTTCAGTGGCCACCCCTATTAGCAGTGGAGGTGAATCAAAATTAAGATTTCTTGAATAATACACCCAAGAGTCCTAATTGATCACCTAGTCATCCAATAATAGTTAAATCGTGATATAGCTGAGACTTCTCTTTTACTACAGTGTTGAGGTAACGTTAATCTTCCAACTCGACTATTATATCTTATTGATGATCCTAAGTCTTGAATAGAGGGGTAATTATTTCTCTGTTCTAAGAATTTAATTAGATGCTTGGTGCACATGCTATCTATGTATATAAAAATAATTGAGTCAATAAGCTAGAGTGTTCAGATAAGGTGGCTCCTTTAATTTAATGGCTATGACTATAGTAATTGACCCATGTAAATTAAGGAGCTAGCTTAGCTTTCCCATGATGGGTTAATAAATCAATATTCTAAAGGGTTGGTTGACGTCGTTTAATTTAATGGCTATGGCTATAGTAATTGACCCATGTAAATTAAGGAGCTGGCTTAGCTTTCCCATGATGGGTTAATAAATCAAGATTCTAAAGGGTTGGTTGACGTGTTTTATTTATGTTGTGTTATGCTGGATTATAGTAAAATTTAGTCAAACTTTCTTATTGAATTCAATTCATGTTTTTCATATTTGCTTCTTCGAAAATTGTTCGAAGTGTTTGTGCATAGATGATAGATTTTTTGTTTTTATTTTAGCTTTTTCACCCCCCTGAAAAATACCCCAGCCTCAAGCCGCGCAATTTTTTTTAGAAACTATCGAACAAGCCCTTGCCATTATAAAAAAATTCATTAACTTAAATTTTTAAAGGGTAAAATGGTCTTTCCAAAACCTTAAATCCTTATAACAAAATGTTTGTGTGTTTGGCCTTTCTGTGGTGAGTACTCATTGGTTTCGGAAATATGACCTTAACCCCCATGTGTTTGATATTTTTTTGGTGGTGAGCACTTGTTGGTTACTGAAATGTGACCTTAATCCCTATTTTTGATAGACTGTTAAGTTGTTCAGTTTAAGTTTGTAAAGAAATCATGTTTTTACTATTCACCCAAATTCAATCAGTTTAACATTCAAAATTTGTTAACAATATTAAAAAGATAAATATATTTTTTAAAGATTAATGATAGAATTTGAGATGGACCGGATACAATAACTCAAATTCTATCAGTTAAATTGATAAAATTTAAGGTTGAATACATTCTCGAAACTAGAAAGTACTCACTCAAAAAGAAAAAAAAGGTCAAACACATATGGTTCCGATGTATTTTTGAAACCAGAGAATGTTCACTATAAAAAAGGTCAAACATATAGGAATTAGGAGCATATTTCCAAAACCAACTACAAAAAAGCTAAACAGACAAGGCTTGACTATAAATAACCCGTTTTCTTTAAGAACACTATAACTAATTCTTTGCATACATTATATCACACTTTTTTTTTTTTTTTCTGATAATAATTGGAATTATTTCTAATGATATGCTAGAACGATAGCCCTGCATCTTTTAGTTGACTCAGATTTATTCCTTCACAATATTCAATTAATCAAGTTAAATCATGAAACCCAACATCGTGAGGATGAGAATTACTCGATCTACCACTCTTGAGAGTGGTCTTAATAATTTATATTAAAAGAAGCTATCAACTAATTAATTTATGTTATCTCTCGTACGCATCAGAATCGTTGATCTTTCATTTTTTGTATATACAAGTGAATGTTTTATAAATGAATGTTTGACTTGAGGGACATTGAGGGTGAGCTCTAATAAATAAGAAGAGTTTTCTTATGAACGGAAAGGATCCAAATTATGTAACACAACCCTCTTATATAGTCCATTCGACCTCCTAAAGAAAACATTAATGAAAATTCGTTCACAATTTATACTTAGATTTTTTATTTACACAATGTATATGGTAATGTAAATCTTTGATATATATACAGTTCCTCTTTCTTTCGACCTTCTTCTTTAGACCAGTTGAAGAACCTTATCTTATTTCGAAGTTTACTCGAACTGATTCGATCCGATCCAAGCCCTAATCATCAACATAACCAATTTACCTACAAATATGATAAAGAAAGGATTTGTGGATACGTATACGTGAAAATAGACCAATCAATGATAAAATCCAATGTTTTAATAACCAACTCAGGGTTAAACCTTACAAAGTGGTCAGGTCCTGGGTCGATCGGTTGAGGGTCAGACTGATGACATCAGCATGTCCAGAGGATTGAAATCCTACAAACACACCCTTGAGAAATTTTATCAATCCTTATAAGTTTGAAATCCAGTAAACAAACCCCTATGATT